CTAAAGAAGGAAGCATCAACTCCCAGGGTTTCTTGAGATCTCTTTTTCTTTCTTTTTTTTAATTTTTTTTAATTTTTTAATTTTTTAATTTTTTTATTTTTCAAGACAGGGTTTCTCTGTGTAGCCCTGACAGTCCTGGAACCCACTCTGTAGACCAGGCTGGCCTCGAACTCAGAAATCCACCTGCCTCTGCCTCCCAAGTGCTGGGATTAAAGGCGTGTGCCACCACTGCCCGGCTGGGAATTATTTTCTTATTGATCTTTTACTTGTATATTTTAGTTAATGTTGTTGTATTGTATTGTATTGTTCCTTGATTTTTTTTTTTTTAAAGAGGCAAGGAAAAGAACATAAAGTTGAGTGGGTAGGGAGGTGGAGAAGATTTGGGAGAAATAGGAAAAGGGGGTAAAATATGACCAAAATATACTGTATGAAAGACTTTTTCAATTAACAAATGTCCCTCCCCAGGGAGGGACCCTATAAACAGAGACTAGGCACAGAGACTCACATGCTATATACCCTGACATGTATGTTTTCAGACCACTCCTTTTTTTTTTTTTTTTTTGGTTTTTCGACAGGGTTTCTCTGTGTAGCCCTGGCTGTCCTGGAACTCACTCTGTAGACCAGGCTGGCCTCGAACTCAGAAATCCTCCTGCCTCTGCCTCCCAAGTGCTGGGATTAAAGGTGTGTGCCACCACCACCCGGCTTTCAGACCACTCCTAACACAGTCCTGTCCCCTGTGGGTGGGAAACCCTCCAACAAGCACACCCAGCTCACACTTGGGAAGTAACAGCAGGTGGTACTTAGGGGCAGTCTGCTTCCCTGATGAGAGAGGTAAAACAGGCACTGACCCTAGAGCCAATGTGGGAGCCATGAGGGAGGTTTTCCTGAGGTCATAGTCTGAAAGTATGGCCTCCACTTGTCCTTTCTCCCAGGTTTACCCTGGTTTCAGAAAAGCCATTTTCATTACTACCACTCCAGGTGCCCTCTGATACCTCCTGCCCGCTGTGCCATCCACCAGGGTGGCTGGGCCAGCCCTTACTGTGTCTCTCCTCCCTCCCTCCCCTTTGTTCTCTTGTGTTCTGAGGTCCCAGATGCAACTGGGCCACCTAGTAGGAGTTAAAGAGATGAATTGGGAACAAACACACTTTTTGCTGCCTACCAGCACTCCACACGGGTATCCTTTCTCAGAATTCCTAGAACCCTTGTGTGAAAAGCCCTATATAAGCAGCCATGCCCCCAATAGACCCTCTCTCTACTGAAATAGCTAACTGTAGGAATCACAGAGTGACAGGCTCCAACCCATTCCTGACCTACAAGTTAGGGCCGCTGGGAAAAGCCTAGCTTGGGCACTGCACAAGACACCTTCTCCTGTAGCAAGAATCCTGCCCAGGGTGGAGACTACCCTGAACAATCACCAAAGTCCGGAGTTCAGGGTCTTCCACGTCTTTTCCTTATGGCGGGGATATGGCAAGAGAAATCTCAGAACAATGGGGAAATTCAGCCATAACATTAACTTCAGGCTGGTCAGGCAGGGAATGTGGCTGGAACCCTTTTCCTGCTGCTCCCTCTGGCTTCCCCAAAACACCTGGCCCCTTCTTGGCCTGAACCAAACAGGAAGAAGCCCGTATCTCTTCCTTCCAGTTCCTCTGGGATATCCCTTAACCCGAAGCCTGGGTAAGAAGGCAGGCGGAATGGGAACTGCATGAATGAGGCTGAGAACAATCTAGGGAGAGCAGGATGCTTGAAGGAACTCCCCCCTCTCTTAGGAAACACAAACTCCAGGGAAAAACAAAGGGGTTTCATGCAGCACACAAGGCTGGGTTCCTGCATACACAATAATAGCCATATGGCACGCACACATAGGCAACTGTCCACTTCCAGGCCCAGAACCCAAACCGGAAACTGAGCTGGACTGCAGGCCCCGCTGCTCCATCCCCCACAGACATACACCTGCTCAGCCCCACATGAAGAGACCCCTTGAGCTGCTCCCCCCCCAACACCTTCTATGGGCTCCTGGACAGCCAGGGCTACCCTGAGTGTCCCTTCCCCCACTCACTGCCATCAACCGAAACCCTGGTGTCTGTGCATTCTTCTTTCTAGGACACAGCCCCAGCCACAACCAGGAGACTTTTCCTTGGGAAGGAGAGAGGCTGGTTCACACTGGTCCCTTCCATTTCTGAGGGTCAGTTTCCCACTGGGGCTGAGTGAGTCAGAGGAGAGGTCCTGCACATAATCTATCCTCCAGGCCCTGGTGGTGTTTCTTTCATTCCCTGGGGCTGAGTGCTGGGCAGGTGTTCTCTCTTAAGTAGGAAAGGAATTTCAGTGTTTTAAGTGGTTCTGGCAGTCACCTTTTGATAAAACAGAATAAGCCCTTCACCAGAGATTAACTGAAGGAAGGTGAAATGTTAGTCCCCTGCAGAAGGAAGCTCAGCCCCTTGAGGCACAGGCTCCTGGCAACTCTGTGTGCATGTAACCTGCTACATCTGCTGGGCTTAGGGGGCTCAGTCCAAACATAAAGACCAAAATGCTGCCATCACCTTTCTCTGGGCAAAGTGGGAACACTGCCTTGTAGAACAGGTCAATATGGTTAGGCAGATGGAGAATCCTACTGCAGGAAGCACACAGGGATGAACACTGGAGAAGGAGTCTGGTTGGTTAGGTTTAACCTTATTTTTTATTTTCATTTTATTTTTTAGTCTGCCTACAGCGGAAAAGTTGAGTCGACAGAAGTGTGAAAGCCAGTAGGGTGGAGGTAAAAAAAAAAAAAAGAGTTCCCAGGAAAGGCCTGGGAGGGGAAGGTGAGAGAAGGCACTTAGAGGCTTTCCCAGATAGAAGGGACAGGGACAGGGACAGGGTGGGGACAGCAGAGCTGAGGGATGTTCGTGAATGGGAACAGCTGGGTCAAGTCTGGTGACAATGATCATAAGACCCAGGATTTCATGATGGTGATACAAAGCTTCCAGGCTAAGCAGATGGAATGGTAGGGTACTTCCAAACCTCAGAGGGAAGTTGGTCTGGGGGAGGGTTCTAGGAAGCCCTGCTTTCCATGTTCCACTTCAGACAGAGATCAAAACCAAACCAAGTACTTCCTGGGACCATGACTTGCACAGAAGATGCCCAATCTAGTATGTGAGTAGGGATGACTTAGGCTGCTAATAACACTAATAAACAGGAATTAGGTGTAGGGCCTGCTCAGCCTGTCTTCTCCCTACTCTTGAAAGTCTCTGGACAGCTGATCCCCCAACACACACACACACATATTCATTCATTCTCTCCCTCTCTCTCTCTCTCTCTCTCTCTCTCTCTCTCTCTCTCTCTCTCTCTCTCTGGTGGCTGTCCAGCAAGTTGTTTCATCCACCTAAAAAGACTGGGGAAATCATCTTGGGAGTTGATGAGGAACTACATACTTCCTCTAGGAACAGGGAAGCTCAGAGAACAGTCTCTTCTGTCTTCTGGCCTCACCCTCTCTGAGGAGGGAAAAAAAAAAAAACCACCTCATCTCTTCTGACAAACCTCATCTCTTCTGAAGACCCTGGGCTCACGAAAAAGCTACCTCCCAATCCCCAGCAGTGACTCCAAACCATTTACTCAAATCCATGTTAATGAGGTTTTTTTTTTTCTGTCACCTAATTAGTTCACAGGGAACTCTGCCTTGAAAGGAAAGAGAAGAAAAACAGGCTGGGAAAAGATCAAAAGGAAGACAGCTGGGAATGTTCCAACAAAAGGGTCCAGATCTGAAGGTGGAGGGGGGCTCTACTCACAAAAGATCGGAGACTCATCAGCTCTGGGTACCTCAAAAAAGCAAGACAGGGCTGTTCAAGTACAGAGGGCTCCAAAGCCTCACACAAGATGGGAACAGGATCTAAATTGAAGGTCCCAAAGAGTGGGCATGCCCTTCCCAACTCCATGTCGGCAGCAACTGGCCTTGGCTCTCCCTGCATTGCCACTAAGGCAGAACCCACCACCTGCTGGTGGGCGTCCCCCTTCAAGCAGAGTTGGAAAAGGAAGCAGATGGACCAGGGCGAGGCCCATCTGTCCAAGCTTGCTAGAAGGTCAACACTGCCACTGGGGTGCCTGTTGCTACTGCCAGCCAGCCTCCACTACAGCGAAGGTCGCGGGGCTTCTTGCTAGCAGTGTGCCTCCAATTAACGTGCCCTTCAGCTATCAGAGTTCAAGGCCCAAGTGCCCACAGGAAGGAACATTATTAGGAGCAGTGCATATGGCCAGGGGTTTGCGGTCCCCCTAGATCCAGGCCGGACCTCCCTGGAGGTCAGTCAGCATCCTGACAACCGCATGTATGCCTGGGGTTTAGAGGGCACTGGCAACGCTGAGGGACCATCCAGCGCCTCCCACGCGGCCACAGCTCCACAGTTCTGCGCCCAGGTCAGGCCCGCGCCCGCCCGACCGCAGAAGCGTGGGGGTGGGTGTGCGTCGGGAGAGGGCGCCGCGGGGAGCGCCACCCTCCAAAGCCTGCAAGAGAGGCCCAGGAAGGCTGCCATCCACTAACCCGAAGCTCTGGTTTTCCATCCCTATTGCCGGGCTGGGCCAGGACAGCAGCTTATTATATTAGCTCAAGCATTAGCCCCACCTTCAAGACCCACCGGGTCAGATTGTGCCTAGCCAGATGTGGCCCCAGGCCCTCCCGGTCCTTGGCGACTCAGTGCATCAGTCATTGGAGCGACAACCATCTTCACATCTCAGGTCACGAAGAGAAAAAAAATTAAAAAAAAAAAAACCCAAAAGACAAAAAAGCGTGTTTACTGGCACAGGACCGAACCCACCGCCCCTAAAAAAAAGTGTTCCTGTATGAGACATGGAAAAACCTGGACCAAGGCTCTGCAGCGGGGATCAGCAAACCGTGAACCTCAGCTACATAAGACCCCTGAGCGCCAGAGAGGGGCCTGGATAGGGCCGTGGAGGCCGCTCCCCCCTCCCTGCCACCGGCCAGCGCTGCAAAGGCCACCGCGCCTCAGCTCCCGCAGCACCCCGGCTCCGCTCACCCTCGATGGAGATGACGTGCTCCCGGATCTGGTTTTGCAGCGCCAAATCCTCGATTCGCTCGATCAAGTCGTAGATGGCGTAGATGTTGGGGTGTACCGACTCGAAGCGTTGGATCTCGGCCCGG